ATCCTGAGAACGTAGCTGGGCAAATTGTTGTACTATAAATCATTGTCTTTTACAAGTGCCATTGTCACATTAGCATAATTTAAGGAAACAGACCAACATATGCAAATCCGAAAACACAACAAAGTGAGAGAAACCCAACAAATTGATGATGTTTGATGTTAGAAATGTGAAAACTTGAAGAGACCCACCTCTTGTCTTGAGCATTCTCAGCAACTGGCTCAAATGCTGCGGCGGCTGAGTGGAGGCAACCTCCTTGATGAAAGACACATGGTCTGCAATTTCCGACCACAAAATCAATTCCCAAACTTTACAAAACAGTAACATTAACAAGCACTTTCTAAAAAGATCCAAGCCAAACAGTGCCTCAAGTTACCATGCGTGACAGAGGAATAAGAGCAGCGGGGCCGAGCTCTGCCGTGCCGAAGAAGCACAGTGGGCAGAGCGGTGGCGCGAGAGCCTCCGCACACCAATCCGCCGCAAACTTTCATTTTTGTGGGTCTCTGTTGCTCTCTGGTTTGTTTCTTGTTTATCTTTTATCTGAGCATCAAAATTCTCAGCCGCATTAGATTGGGCCACAAAAATTCTAAATAGACTACCGAGCCCAGGGAGAAAAGCCTCTGGCCCAGAAGTGTTATCTTGGGCCTCAGCAAAAGGCACCGAGTTGTGCAAGTGAGGTGTTTTCAAATATAGAACTCACTCGTAAGCAATGGTATAGCCGAGTTTGTTCACGTCTCTAAATTTTGAGGTAATCAACTTTTGTCAACACGACAAAAAAATTGAGGTTTTAAGTAACCCAACAATTTATAAGCCATTGCATGGTTTAGTCTTTCTAATTAACCTTCGTATTCTTACACGTCTCCTCAAGTGTGGAGAATTTTCAAACTTAACATATGAACATTGCAAACGGAAAGATTTTTTAAAATATGCCATATGAGGTTTCCATTTTCTTAGGTTGCACTATGAAAATTTTAAAATATGCCATATGTTAGTCAATATAAGGGACTCAATCTCGCACTTCATTGGTTTAATTAATCATCACACAATTAGCCAGACTTAAGGCACAGATTAATACAATTTCATTACTTTATAATGTTATATGAGAAGTTAAAATTGTGTGACTCATTTTAAAAATCACTCTAAACTTTAAGAATGTAAAGTATAATTAAACCATTGAGGAGGTTTAAATATCCTATGCTTCTTTTCTCGTGAGCTCACCGAAAGAGGGGCAGAAGCCAGGTTTGAATCTCCTAAGTCCACCTTCAGTGACTTTTGTTAAAAGAAGTTGAAGTGTGGCCATGTTACAAAAATGACGACTGCCTCATTTCAACCAAATTACTCAAACAGAAGCCTCTGGTTCCCATTAGTTGTGTATTTGAAATACAAAACGATATATATATATATATATACACACACACACACACAACGTGTCATAAACAAGTGAGCAAATACTTAAAAATATATCCTCTTCTGCAATAATATTATAACATATAATATACAAGCTTGTGTTTTGGTACATGAAAAGTCTCCTCATAAGCAACAATTAAGGAGACTCCAATTTCTGCAATAATATTATAACACATAATATATAGAAAGAGAGAAGCAGCTGCCAGAATTACACTTGAATTTTTTTACAATATATAGAGTAAGGAGGACGAACTGATTCTGAAGTCTAATTTTACATGAAGGTGAGATTCCAAATCTTTGTTGCTTTTTTTGGTGGGAAATTTTGTTGCTTGTGACTTGTGGGTTACTATTTTACTTTTATATTATGTTTTGCTTTTTAACGCATCAATCGATATTCAAAAAGATTAAAAACTTAAAAATAATTAACTTCCCGTTACCATCTTATTTGCTGCAACACAACCTTCAGGATGTGGTACCTCGGATATAATTTCTTTTCTAATGTAATTCATATCTCAACCTCAAAGTTAGACTTAGTATTTGTTTGGTTAGGGTGACAAAGAATTTAGGTTATAATAAAATAGAACAAAGCCACCGTACTTTAAACATGACAAGAAGTTACGCACATATTTGATAACCATTTTGTTTTTACATTTTAGTTTTCACCTTTTTTGGTACGAATAGAAGAGATATATGAGGGAGAAAAGCTAGATAAGCAAAGGTACGTGACAGAAGGGTGGTGTATAAATTTGGCTAGCTAATGGGTAGCCATATTTGATCGTCTCTGCATAAGGAGAAAAGAACATGGTTTTGAAAATATAGAGAAAACAATGGGAGGCATCAGGATCATCACAACTAGTTCAGTGAAAGCAGCGAGTCCAGATAAGAAAGTCTCAATTCCAAGAGTTGAGTTAATGCAAGTGTCGGCGGAGTCCTCTAGACATGGGACAAAAGGTATTCTTAATCATTTACGAGGCTCCGGATTCGAAACAACCATTGTTGTCACAAGGGGTGATGCGGGGTCAAGTTGTCGCTCACACTCTCAATAAAAAAAGATTTGATATGAAATGTGTGAAATGGATAATAAAAGCGGAGATGCATTTTAGGGCGGTTGATCAAGAGGACTTTAGAGATTGGATCCATGACTTGAATCCAAAGTACAAGCTTTCAAATAGGCACAAGGTGGCGGCAGCGGTTTTAGAATTGTATTTTACAAAGAAGGGACAAATCAAGAGTGTGGTTGATGGTTTGAGGGTGAGTATCACTACCGATACTTGGACCTCAATCCAAAATATTAATTACATGGTGGTGACAACACATTTTTTGGATAATGATTGGACTTTGCATAAAAGGATCAAAAACTTTGTTCAAATTACGTCTCAGAAGGGTGATGATATTGGGAGGTGTCTAGAGGTATGCTTGAATAATTGGGGTATAGACTAGGTATTTAGCATTACTGTTGACAATGCTAGTGCCAATGACACCGCCATTGCATACATGAAAAGAAGGCTCAAGTCCAATGGTACTCTTTTACTTGACAGGGCTCACTTGCACATGAGGTGTGCTTATCACATCCTTAATTTGATAGTTAAAGATGGAATGACTGAGCTTAGTCATGAGATTGAAGGGATAAGGAATTATGTAAAGTTCATACACTCATCCCCTGCGAGGTTGGAGACTTTTAAGGAGTATTGCGTCTTGATGAGATTTGATAAGATGTCAAATATTCCTTTTGATGTTGTCACAAGGTGGAATACCACCTATGAAATGCTCAATAGTGCCTTCAAATTTAATCAAGTGTTCTCAAGGATGGTAGATGAGTGCAACACTTTCATCTTTTACTTTCAAGATGAAGTATCTAAAGAGATTAATGGGGTCACAACCAAGGTCAAACGGGTGGGTCCTCTGGTGGTGGAAGATTGGGAGAGGGCGGTGAGTTTTGCTCACTTTTTTAAAAGGTCTTATGATGTCACCTTAACACTTAGTGCAACCTTAACTCAAACTTCAAACTTAATACTCGACACGGTGATTGCATTGCAAGTGGAGATAGAAGAAAAGATTTGCAATTCCTGTAATGCCACTTTGCAAAGTGTGGCAACTTCTATGAAACTTAAGTTTGACAAGTATTGGGGGGACATTGAAAAGGTTAACCCTATACTCTTTATAGCTCAAGTACTCGACCCAAGGTACAAGTTTGAAATGTTAGAGGCAAGCCTAGAGGAACTCTGCTATTCATGTGAGGCAATCTTGGATGTGAAGACAAGTATTAAAAACTTGACACGTTTGTTTAAGGCGTATAAGGAGGGAGAGGTTTCTAGTAGTAGTAGTGTTACCATGGATTAAGGGCCAAGTGTTGTGGTAGATGATTCTTCGGGGTTGGAAGATGATGATATTGGTACAAGAATGCAAAAGAAGATCCAACAAAACAAGATATCTAATGAAGTGGATATGTACTTCAATGATCCTCACCAAAGCTTAACATACGAGGGTTTCAATATTTTGGATTGATGGAAAGGCAATTACGGAACATGTCCAACTCTCAGTAAGGTTGCTAAAGACATTTTTGCTTTCCCTAGTAGCACCGTTGCTAGTGAGAATGCCTTTAGTCTTGGTGGGAGAGTTGTAGATCCTTTTAGAGCTTCCCTAACACCGAGAAGCTTTGGTGTGTACAAGTGATTGGCTAAGGGGGAATGAAATGTCCTTCTACAAGGAGCCTACAATCGACAACCTCATGTTCTACAAGGAACTTGAAGACTTGGAGAAAGGTAAGTGAAGTATTTGATTTCATGTTTTTATTTTCTTAGTTTTATAATTTATACATTCACTTTCTTAATATATTTTGTGTTTTATTATTTTTATTGTTTTAGAGTTGCCTAATTTGGGAGGTGAGGAGAATCCTACACAAAGTGAAATGCCACTTCCTCCACCACCTCAAGTTCAACGCCGCCCATCACTACTTCCACGACCACCCATTTCAAGAGCATTTACACCAACAGGAATGAGGGTTCAATTATCAACAAGATGAAGGGGTCCACCATCAACTGCAACGGGTCATTCATCAACAAGGGGAAGGGTTTAATTATCTGATTTGGCTTTAATTATCTGGAAGTATATATTTTCGTTTAGGGTTTTGATTTCTTTATGCCTGTATGTATATATGATAGGAATCTTAATGCCTTGCCAAATTCTTGTAGTTGAACTTGTTTCTTTGTTGGATAAGGGAATACTTCTGTTATTAGAATAATTAATCTGTGTTTCTGATTGTTCTAATTTATTGTGGTAGATAATTTTATTTGATGATTATTGCAAGCAAGATAAACCAATTTTTTACCATTGTTTTGAATGATAAGAAGTTCGGTATGCTGAGTATCATCATTTTAATTCTCTATGCAGTTTGCCATTAATGAGAAAAGTGGGAATGCAATTCTATTTAACTGGCTGTGAGTTTTAGTTGGAATATGTGGTTCTCAAATTTTAATCCGCAAAATTGTATTTCAATGAACTCGGATATACTTCCTGACTTCTTTCATGGGTAATATTATACAATCCCTTGAGTGCACTTAAATGTGACTAAGAACCTGGAATTAATAGAACAGTTCTATTAGTGCACTTAAATGTGATTTCTTTCATTGGTTGTTCGCGTTAATGACCCCCTTTTTAACAGGTGAATCAATCGAAGAGATCTCTACTAGACCCAAAGCCTATTCTGCGCAAGAGAAGATCATTCAAGCGACAACCAAGTCAATCTGGTAGAGGAAAACAACCAATTTTCTTGCAAGGTAATTTAAATCTCTTATTGCCCATTCCTAGCGGTAAACCAAGTTTCTTGCTGTAAAATATGTATTTTTCGCTTTTGATATCTGATCTTAATCTTCTTCCTTGCAAGTTCTTCTGAATTATGGATATTACATGCTATCTAGGGTTTTCCAGCAGTGGTGGGTGAGGTAGCTATATATATATATATATATATATATATATATAGAGAGAGAGAGAGAGAGAGAGAGAGAGAGAGAGAGAGAGAGAGGTAGGGTTGGACTAGATTAGAAAACATAATATACAATCAGAACTAGACTAGAACTAGGAGTAGAAGTTGGACTTGGAGTGTGATTGTTCTGCATCAATTGGAATCAGACTTGCTTTATCACGGTATACACCTGAAGTGGATCATTGGAGTCTTGCTGTAAAAAGATGGGAAATTATTAGAAAAGGAATGGAGGTCTGAAATTCCTATCCCCGGGGAGGACCTCATAGGTCTATTCTGTGTTATTCTTGCTGTATTTTTGTATCATTGACGTTGAAAAATGATCACATAAGATTAAATCATAACTTTTTAACTTTTATACCAATAACCGAATCTGCACTAATTGGAATATGCACCAATTTACTTTTGTACAAGTTTGTAGTACTAACTACTATCCTCTTATTATTTTGTGTGAATTAAATGAAGTCAAAGGCGTTAAACGTCTCAAGAGCCTCAAGCTCAATTTTAAACTCAATGAGATCAAAATTAAATGGCCCTCATGATCAAACAAACTCATTTTCGAGTACACCATTGGAAGTTGAAAAAAAAAAAAAGAAAAAGGCTGCAAGTTGTTTTCTTAGAAATTTTTTTTGGTATTGGAAAAAAAAAAAAAAAAAAAACCAAACCGGGTCGAAACTGAACCGAATACAAACCGAACCGAACACAAACCGACAAAAAATTGAACCGAACAATAATTTCGGTTCTATTTCTGATTTTAATTTGGATTAAATGAGTAGGAGTTAACTTATCCCACGTAATAGAGTTGTAAATTAATTAGGATGTATCCCATCTCAAATAAACCCAATTTCTGAACAACATCACCACGTTTAAACAATTTCATTTCGATCCAGATTCTATCCATCTTAAAAAAATTTAGTTTGATTTATGGTAAAATTTTGACTTTTTCCGTGCTGTCCGATGCGTGCTCCATGATTAAATTTGTGTTGTCCACGCAGGGACGAAGTTAGAAATCTACATGGATGGGGCATCCTCAAACAAGAAAGTCACAAATTAAAAAACTCAAGAATTTACTGAATAAAACAGTTATATATTAATCCATGAAGTTTTTCATACAACATATTACAACAGATGTCGATGTGTTTTCATGTCTAGAAAGTGTTGAATGACAATACCATCAAATATGTCTTTCTCTATAAAAATAATCATGTTATCATTTATCCATTGTTCTCCCATCACATTTCTCAATCGATTGTTTAGAAATTTCATGGCTGAAAAAACTCTTTCAACCTTGGCAGTAGCAACTGAAAGAGTCAATACCAATGTCACAAGCAAGTAAACTAGTGGATAAACCTTATCTTTTTTTACATTGAACCATTTTTTTTGTAAGATGTCCAATCTCAATGCTAGACCACACATCATGTGAAGTAAACTCATACAAAGCACCTTGTTGAGTGAAGTTTTTCAGTCAAATTCTGATACTTGATTAGTTGAACCCCAACATGTTTCTTTCTGAAACCCTCAATTTAATTGAGTGTTTGTTTTTTTTTTTTTTGGTGAACTAGATACTTCATTACCAGGGCAAAGACGCCAAAAAGATACAAAGAAAGCCTACAATAAGGCAAACAACCAGGTTAAAACATGAAACACTAAGTAGTGTAAGGGGGTACAAAAATTCTTGATGCCGCATCTAATGCTAAGAAACGTCACCCCTCACACTACCAAAAAAGACCTGGGGAGGGCAAGGAAGCCCACCATTACAGAGAACATAAACTAGGGAAGATGGAGGTCGATTAACCCAAATGAAATCGCACATTTCCCTACAACACCGTAATGCTAAGTAGTCAACTGCCATATTGGCTGATCTTGGGATCCAAGACCAGTAATAGTCTTGGAAAGATTCCCCTTCTTTTGCTCTTCACCAGAGCGGGAAAAGCTTCCCAACTGCCCTTGGTTAGCGTAAGAAATTGATTTCGATGAGTCGAACTCAACGATAACTCAACTCTAGCCCTGAGAAATACCCAACTCGCATCCGTGGAGGATTGCCAACGCCTTCGCCATAGCAACACTTGTGGCCTTAACGTTATATCTGCATGCAATCAAGAATTAACCCTCCGAGTCTCGCTCCACCACACCTGCAAAACCTGATTCCGTAGTTAACACCCAACTAACATCCACGTTGATTTTTATGTACTCCGGGTAAGGTGTGATCCAATGGACCGTAGCATCAGCAGTAGACCGCCTCGGTGAAGGCTCCAACCGTGGTGGATATTGCTGCTATTACCTATCTTGGGTTATTTGGTTGATGGTTAAAGAAAGCGCTACATATTGCTTTCCAAATTTGCCAGCACGTAAAGGCAACATAGGACATATTTATTCTTAAATCATGTTTTGATCCATTACCGAAACCCGAAAATGGCAATAAGCCAATTGGCCTAAGTAGTTATGTCATCACGATTTATCTTGAAGTTTAAAGCTCTACCAAACCAAACCACCTCCACCCAAGGACATAGAAGGAAAAGGTGTTCAATCGATTCTTCATGCAGATTACATAGAAGACATAAAGGTGATGGAGAGGCTCTTCATTTAAACAAATTGGCCATAGTAACAGTGTTCTAAAAAATGGTTGAGGCGGTTGCCTAGGTGGCGCTTGGGCGCCAGGCGGCGGTGCTCCGCCGCGATTAACTCAAAATCGTTTCTTAAATCAACAAGGTATGTGCAGACGTAGGGAAAGATCTATTAAGGGACCTGGGTGGTCCTGGGACCACCCAAATATGGGTATATGGTGGAAGAGAAAACAAAGGCGACGGCTACTCTGTTATGGCCTTCTGCAAACCAGAAGGTGGAGAATAACTGAAGAAGACGACTAACCATTTAGCAAAACGGTGTGTTTTTGCTATGGGTTTGAAAACAGTCTCCAAAGCCACGTGGGAGGCTTTTTAGCCTCACCATTTTTATTAAAAAAAAAAAAAACTAAAAATCACATGGGTTGCTTTGCTGTACAGTCCACTTTATCAATTCTAGTATGTTTTCTCCTCCACCACTTAATCCCCTCATTCCTAAATTTAAGTGTTATATTTTAGTTTAAATTAATACTATAAAATGTCTTGAATTATATTTTATCTCTCTGAATTTAATTTATTTAACTTACTAATCATTCAAAATGTCTTAAGTTATATGGTATATATGCTTAATATGTTTTTAAATTTTGAACTTGTTGGATACTCTTTTTGTATTTTATCATTATTTTATTATCTTATCCATAAATTTGATACGAATATAATTTTTTATGTGTCAATATGCACTTACGTACAAGATATACAAGAAATTTACCTAAATCCGCATAGGCCGCCTAAAATCCCGCCTAGATTCCGCCTAGGCGCTAGGCGTTAGCTCGCCGCCCGACTAGCACCTAGCTTTTTTTAGAACCTTGCATAGTAGCAAATAGCTGAATGAAGAGCTTTCCACATGAAGCACCTAATTTTAGCTAAATGAAGAGATTTCAACATAAAGCACCTAATTTTAAGGATGGTCTCCAATTTCCACACCATCTTCCAAAGAGAACCGGGGATGGAAGCAGAATATGCAGACCGCATGATCCTTTGAGGTGGTTTCCTTAAGTAGGCTAGTGGTATCTAGATTTTATTGAAAATATCCTTTTTTATCAAAAGGACACACCAGCCTATCCCGGAGCAATGGATCCTTAATATGAGTCTCCAAAATCACATCAAATTCCTCAGCTAAGACAAATGGTTTCAAAAAATCAATATTCTACTCATCGTTTGCAGGGCAGATCAAAGAGTCAACCCTTGTATTACGACTTACCTGCACTGTGCCCATCGGAGAAGGCCGACCTAAGGGGATGGAGATGATCCATCTATTAACCCACACTTGAACCTCACTACCATTCATAATCCATCTATCAACCCACACCTGAATCTCACTACCATTCATAATTTGCCAATGTGATCCCCTAAGCAGGATATCTTTTCAAGCAAGTAGGCTCTCACACCCCACTTAGCATCAAGGAATGAGCAGTTAGGGAAGTAACAAGCTTTTAGTACCAAAGCCCACATGGAATTCGATTCATTAATCAACCTCCAACATTGCTTAGCCAGTATGGCATCGTTGAAATCCACAAAGCTTCTGAAACCAAGTCCAGCTTTTGACCAACGCAATTTTTCCTTCAAGACCTAGTGAATGCGTTTTCCCTCCTTCTTTTTGCCCCCACCAAAAGTGTAAGATCATAGCATCCAACTCATTGCATAGAGTCGTGGGGAATTTAAATAGATTCATCGGGTATGCAAGAATTGCTTGTGTTACTGCCTTTATCAACACCTCTCTCCCAGCTTGTGATAAGGTAGATTGCTTTCACCCTTGAATTTTCCCCAAGAGTCTCCCCTTTATATATGCCAATCCACTTTTCTTTGATCGGCCCCAAATAGCAGGATACAAACCAAGGTCCATGATCATGTCTATGCCAAGAACAGTGGTCAACTCTTCCGACAATACCGCTAAGACGTTTCCTTAAAAGAAAAAAAACACTTGACTTTTGCAAGTTAACTTGTTGTCCCGAAGCAGAACGATATGCATCAATTAATTAGACAAAGTGTCTACAATTTTCCTTCTCAGCCTTCAAGAAGATAAGCGTGTTGTTCACAAAAAATATATGAGAGATAATCGGGCCAGTGGGGTGTTGGAAATGTGCCCTAAAACCAATCATATGATGATACTTTATGGACATTTCACATGTTAAACTAATCTAGTTTAATATTAAGGGCAAACATTATTGTTTGAGCCGTCTCATATAAATGTTATATGCTTAAACGATAAGTCCAAGGAATATGTGATTGGAAGAATGCGATCTAAAGAAGTTAGATTCATGAGACCATTCTTTCGTTGACACATCCTAAACGTTCCTGATCATAGGATTGTCAATTGGGCATTAACAGTCCGTTAAGATCAGTACGTGCTATGTCTTCTCTCAGGGAGAGTGACTAGTCTCGAGTCATTGGTGTGTGTGACATCAAGACAAGTACGTAGGTGCTCAATAGAGAATGAGTTCACTGAACACGATCAACGAAGAGTTCTCATATTCATGTCACATGAGAACTCATGGTTGGGATAATGCAAATTAGTCTTTTGACCTGAGGCATCACAGTTGTCTTGTGGTTAGGTCCTTAATCTTTGATTATGTCAAAGTCACTCTATCAGGATGTCCACGGCATCGTCGGGGTTAAGCCACTTAGCCATGAAGGCAAGTGAATGCGCAACAAGGGATCTCTAACCTTCAAACTGTTTGAGGGAGAATACTCTATGATATGATTTAGAATCTCTGGCCAGAGTATGAATGAGATGTTGGAATGCGTTCCAGATCACATTCAAGGTAATCATATAAGTACAAGATTC